GAGCGCTCTCTACCTGGTCTGACAAAGTGCCAAGCAAGTCAATCCAAGTTGCACCTTGCCTTCCAAGAATAATCCTTGCCTTCCAAATGTTCCCTTGCCTTCCAAGAATAAATCCTTGCCTTCCAAGAGCCCCATGTTTCGAACTCACGACCTCTGCTCTGCCGGGTTTGACAGCGTCCGTCCTTTGCCAGTGGAGAAGTGCCCTGGGGGGCTGATGACAACCATATTAATAGGCAAGAAAGAAGAGGATGCCTTAAAAGAACTGTGGCATTTTGTGAAACCTAATTATAAAGAAGGTAAAGATCAAAACTTTGACTTAGAAGATCAAACCTATATTTTCTTAATTTTCTATTACATCTACAAAGTAAGCTTACTAAATCTATTGAACAATAATTGCAAGAGAATTGTTTATTTTCTTAATTTGCACGAGAAATACGGGAAATCAAAGCCGTGATATGTGTTTCTTTGCATGTTCTTGACATCTTCAATGTCTTGATATGTCATGTGTTTGGTAAAAAAGGTGAAAAATATTAAGAGAATAGGAATAGAGAATCAATTTCTAATGCTGTTAAAACATGCATACTTTAGCTTTTAAATAGGGGGTAATTGGCACAAAACGTCCTTACCTTTCAAGTCTATTGTGGAAAACGTCACTACCTTTCATTTTTTGGCATTTTTGCCCTCATTTCAACCTTTCTTTGCGCTGGACGTCCTTCCGTCCATATTCCGTTAGTTTTTCCGTTAATTAAAGGGTAATTGGCACAAAACGTCCCTACCTTTCAAGTCTATTGTGGAAAACGTCCCTACCTTTTATTTTTTGGCATTTTTGCCCTCATTTCAACCTTTCTTTGTGCGGATGTCCTTCCGTCCATATTCCGTCAGTTTTTCCGTTAATTAAATACAAAAATACCTTTTTCTTTCCATAAACAAGGATAAAATTGTCCTCACCCACTTCACCCCTTTTTCCCGCCATCAACTTAGTCCATAAGTAACAGTAGCAGCGACATGAATCTGAAAATACTTTAAATGATTAAGTTAAATAAAGAAAAAATATCGTGAACACATTATATTTCACAATTCCACAACTACTGTTACTGTCATCTTGTGTCACTGAAAAATTTTAGAAAGACATATTAAATGGGTAGAAATTGAGAAATCTTAAGAGACGGACTAAGAGTTCTCAAAGAGCCAGTCTTTCGGAATAAAATATAATGTTCCTTTGCGGTGGTAGTGATAATGGTGTCTATGGTTATTGCCAGGATTGGTGGTGGTGATGAGGGGCAGGGGTAGGTGGTGGTGGTGAATGAAAAACTTGATGTTTATATATCTTTTCTCCTCCTTTTATTTATCTATTGTTAAGATTGGTGGGTTTTACTCATTTCACATACTTAATAATTGTCATGTGATGGTCACGTAAGGATTTACTAGAAAGTTTGACGTAATATGTTCTTCGAGCTAATACGGTGCACCTATTTTGGAAGGATGGAAATCGATTTCGTCTTATATAACTTACACAAGTCAATAACTATGATTGCGCAATAGAAGTACAATAAAAATGATTCGTGCAACACACGTGCATGAACAAAGAGTGTGCAACACGCATGTTGAATGTGTAATTGATAATACAATTATAATTAAAATAGGTCCAAAGTTCTGGTGACCTATAATTACTTCGAATTTTTATATCCCCACCTTGAATATTGATTCTAAGTTTGATATAGTAGTGTGTTCTTGTGATGACTAATCGTTTTTAACTTCCATGTATTTAATGAATATGTGCACGTGTCCTTTTAACACTACCCAAAATCATCTTAAAGTTTGTTTATTTGATGGTCAATGTTGGTGGCTGAATTTAATTGGTAAAATTCTTAAAATGAGACAAAATGAAGATGGTGCCACGGACCACAAATCGTCGCCATGGCATATAAAGGATGGATCTACATGTGATCATGTGGGATCAAGTTATAACACAAAATTTTCTGATTTTTTTCTCAAAAAAATCTTTTAATACTAGATTTGCCGTTTTCTCTCCCATTTTGAATGACACAACCAGTTCAGCCCTAAAAAACCCTTCTCCATCGACTGTTGGTAACATCTAACAATTCTAGAATATCTCACGACTAAGAAAATGCAAATTAGTTTAAATTATATTTATGTACATGTCACCATTATACTATTCATATTTTGAGCATCTTAAAAATGAAGATTGACTACCCTTTTGAATCGAAACCGACACTTCTGCAATATCATCAAATATTCTAGAATGATTGATGTCTATTGAATCCCCAAAAGCCTTCCTTAATTCTCATATATATATATATATATATATGAGAATGGTAAAAAATCTCACCTAATTGATTTTCCGACCGCGCTTGGTGTACAGGGGCGATCCTACTGGCGTTTTACAGGCTTGTGTGGAAAGTCACTAAATTCTTACAGAAAAAAGAACGAAAAAACGAGCAAAAATCAGTCAATAATTCAGCGTTGTCTTTCACTCTCTCTCCTATAATCCCCAATATGAAACCCTATACCTCACCTAACCAAGCGCGATCGTCTCGCCTCTTCACTTCACATCCACAAGTGAGCATCGGCTGATTCGCCTCCATCTCCGGTAGCCCATCAATGTTTTGTGGTCATGAGGTTGTCTTCTCCCAAATGAGTGCATCTTATAAGCTGGCGTTGAACGACCTCGATGTAGCCGAATTTACCACCATCACTGTGTTCTTCCTCACATGCTGCAGGCTTTAGAATCGTATCAGTCCTATAATCCCCAAACACTTTCCCAGTCTTTGAAAGGCATTGAACAACTTGACGATCCCCTGAACTCTCTCTGCTGCTGAACGAGTTCGGTGACGGCCATCTACTCTCATTCAGGTAGTAGTTTAATTTCATCTTCCTGTTGTCATTTACATGGTTCTTCTGAAAAAGTGCTAATTGATTGGCATGAAAGACAAATAGCAAACAAAAATAGGAAGGGAGAAATGCAAATGCATTATACCTTGAGTAGTGCTCTGTCATTATTGTTAATGTAACAGTGTTGTGCCTCGTCTGATGGATAACATTATGCAAAATCTATACTTATTGGAGTCCTGTTATGGAATCTAAATTTATTTTCTTCAAATAGGAAGAGCAAGTGTCAAGCAAAAAATCCAATATTCCCTGCATGTAGTTGTTTATAATGTCCAAGCAGGTTGGGCCAATTGTTATGTCGTGGTGGTGTCTTTTGTAATTTATACATTATTTATGTAATTCATATTGCCGATTGATTGGTGATGGCAGGTTGATTTGCATAGTAGAATGCCAGGAAAGAATTCAGGCGTGTGCCATAGTTGTAGAAGTAAGGCACACTTATTTGCCCAATGCCCTATCAAAGTGCGCTGTCCGTTGTGTGAGCATGGATATCAGAAGTGCTTTGAGGTGGAGAAAGAAACTTCTAACAAAGGCAGATTATTCAAGTGTTGCAGTAAAAAATGTGGATTTTGGGTATGGTACGAAGAAGGTCAAGCACAAGGTGAATGTAGTAGTATTAGTGCTACCTCGACTACCCCAATGGTAATAGAAGCAATTGAAGATATGACCCGCACGTTCCAATCTCAAGTGTGGTTAAATGATGACGAAAAGCTCCATATCACTGTGAACGTGACTATCCGTAAAGAAAAATGTGGTGCATATGGGAATGCAAAAGGGAAGAGGCCGGCTTAATTGGCGTTATTGTTCGAATGGGTTAATTTGAGTTATGTTTGTCGATGTACAAATACTAAGAGGGAACTTTATATTTGCTTCTTGATAATAGGTCACAATTATGTTAAGTGTTTTGCGACTTGTGAAGTATGTGACCGAGTCTACTTCTATGTTGACCGCTCTACAGGTTGTAATTTTGTAACATTGTTGTAGTTTGGTTAGCAATTGTAGTTGTAACCCAGATAAATAAAAATGCCTACTTGTATGTTGAGTGCTGTAGCCCAGATAATTCAGTGTTTCTGTCCTTTAATTTGTATATATTTTGTTGTGAATTCGAACAGTAAATGGACTGTCCGACTCATTTTGATACCACAAGGAAAATAATGACGGTTAACTATGATAGTTAGGAATAGCTTTTTTTCTGTTAATTAATTTTTATGGTTCACTTTATGGTAGAATTTTCTTTAATTTATTTAGTGGCTCATCAGAGGTTTAAAAAAAAATGTGCCTCGTCGCTCTATCATTTTTATTACTGTAGCCTTCAATTCAGAGGCTTAAACAACGTGGTTTTAGTTAAACATTTCTTACTTATCTATGGAAAACGCTGAAATGAGGAGGAAAAATAGTCGTTTTGTGGTATAAGAAACTCAATTTTATTCTGTCGATAAAAAAGAAAGCATTTAGAATGTTTTGGTTTAATTCAACCATGAGGGTTTAATGTAATTTCATTGAGCTTGCATTGGTAGTTCTCCGTCTGATAGGGGTTGTGTGCCTCGTCTGATACGAACTAACATTTTCCTTGCATTTGTGTATCTAATATAATTCAATGGCTCTTGCATTTCACGTCCCATTACTCACATAACACACTTGTACACAACCTTGTTCCTAGTACAGAACAAAAAGAGTTCTAATTTAACTCGCAAGCATTACTAGTTTTAGTAGGTAATTATCTGTCAAATGGAACAATTCTTTGCAACAAATGTTACCAGCGAGGAAGATAAATAGATTTCAACATCTAAATCCATTCTAATTAGTGCTAATTCAAAACCAAGAAACATGAAGTAATATACCTGTTTGAAACATTAAATTATAAGTGGTCCCTCTATCATAAATGCAAAGAAAACATACACCAACAAAAGAATCAACAGTGCATTCAACATTTGTACCCATTAACATTCCCAAAAAAGTTATAAACATTACTATGGACACTTTTGACCTCAATCCATGGCCCTATATCAAAACATTACAATGATTTCCAACTGTCCCAAAATAAAAAGTGCCTGCCAAGCAAAATGCTTTACAAAAAACAAAAACACAGCCTACGGTCCAGCCATGATTATCCTATCAAAATGGTCCCTCAATCCTTCTGACAACTTGGTCGAGATCCCTTCGGCTACTGCATATGATGTTTCCATTCCTGCAAAAGGAACAACTAAGTCATTCATGTTAAATTTTCCCATTTCTATATGCGAAGTCAACGGTGTACGCTTAACCTTTTCACAAGCCGCTGCCACTTTGTTCTGGTAAATTTGGATAGTAGTAGGGCATTCCATGACCTGCCGTATGCAAGAACATTAAAACATATAATGAAATAATACAAGAATGAATTATAAAGAAATTTGAGCATTATTTACCTTGCGAATGAAATATAATATCACGTGACGATGGTGGCATAATGTTCGAAGACAGGCATTGTTGGGTAAACATATGATTTTTGGCATCACCTTATATGCAGCAATAATGTAAATAAAATGTAAACATCCACTGCAATAGAAAAATGAAAATACTAACCATCAACATTTGTGAATAGGAGAACATGGTCGGTAGGGAATAGTTTAGTTGAGATACTTGAACTTCGGGTGCAACCTCCGGGATGTTAGTAGGTATGTCCCTCGATGTTTTCCCCTTGCTTGAAGTTGAATTTCCCTGCATTTATATCAAACTTAAATGAGAATTCAAAAATGTGGTGCGTTTCTATTGCGATGCCAACAAACAAAAATACCTTTTTTTCTTTGACCTCGACTCCAACGAGCCTTTCGTTTGAAATATTTTCGGTGCACCCTTTCTCTTCACCAATATAGGATCCCTCATAGTCTCGCATGCGAATTTTTGAGAATCAATGTTCTGAGAGGGTAAGTGAACAGCAGGCTGCGACATAACATTAGTTCCATTGCTCGACTTGGTCAGCGTAAGCTCTTTATATTGACATTTTATCCAGTCCATTATTATACGTGATCGCCCTTCATCATCTGTAGTGAGGTCTGCCAATTGCGAAAAAGCACGACACATATCGTCATATCTCAACTGTGCAGGAGTAGTAACTAAGCCAGCATAGTTCACTGCCACTCTTGTGTGCGCTCGACTAACATCTTTTCTCCACATTCGTAGTACATACCTTTCTGGCATTGATGTCACGTTGTTACGGATCAAGACTACGATTGCATGCCTGCGTATTATCCCTCGAAACTCAAACAAGTGGCAACTACAAACAATTTTACTACTATCCCTCCGAAAAGAGACGAACCACTTTTTTTTCTTCCATATGTGTTCGATCAGCACATCCTCTAAAATTTCATACGTGGTCCCCGAACTTCCCTCCGAGGCAGCTAGGAGATCACAATACACCTTCCTTGTGAACTCATCTTGCACTTCCCGAAACCTCGACATTGAGTACACCAACTGAAATTATTTTTCCATTTCATAATTTGTCGCACATGTTACCATTTGCGAGTATGACTTGAAGTCAGCTTGGTACTCCTTCTCAACCTTATTTCTCAGTGCTCGTTTATATTGTTCAACGAACTGCTTAAGCGAGGTCTTCGAATGCACATACACATCAAAGAAGGCATTCATACTTTCACTTTGATGAGTCGTAGACATACCAGCCCAGAATGTTGTTTTTAAGAAGTAAGGAACCCAACAGGCTCTGTTGTTACACAGTCCAGCCAACCAGTCATTATCATGCAACTCATACTCATCAATCATCAATCCCCAACCTTTTTCAAATTCTGTACCAGTCTGCGAATCATACACCAATCTATGTATAGTTGAAAATATGTTTCCCTTGTGAACAAGGTACCCAAACTTCTCCAGCAATTTCTTCAAAACGTGCCATAAACACCATCTATGCTTTGTGTTCGGAAAGACGATCTGAATAGCATTTTGCATAGCCCTATCTTGATTTGTAATGATTCTATGGGGTGCTTGACCATGCATACACTCAAGCCATATCTTAAATACCCAAACAAATGTATCTGTGTCCTCGTTCGACAATAGACCACAACCGAGCAATGTAGATTGACCGTGATGGTTAACTCCAACAAAGGGAGTGAAAGACATGTCGTACTTATTAGTCAAGTAAGTGGTGTCGAAGGTGACAACATCACCGAACTACCTACATGCCTACCTGCATCTATTATCATCCCAAAATACATTCTTCAGTCGCGACTCATCATCTAAATCGATACTGAAATAAAATCTGGGGCATCGTGCTTGCATTTTGGAAAAGTAAGATTGTATTGCGGCTGCATCACCTTCTCCAAGTCGCATCTTCTTACTTGCTCAATATAATTTCGACAGATCTTTTCCACACAAGGCAAATTCTCATATCCACCAGCTTCAACGATTGCAGAGTTGAAACTTTTATGCAACAGTATTCCTGCCATGTCATTCACTTCAAGCTTCCTTTTTATATGTGCTAGCAATTTTCGATTGTAACGATAAAACCTGGACTTTGAAGGGTTGCATGTATGATTGTGCTCGAGACTGACTGTGTTGATTCTCCAGGTTCCATTAACATCTGAAGAAGCAGAGATCCTAGCTTTACAATCCATCTGCGTAGTTGGTTGAGGCTTCAACGAACCAACGACATTAGTACTCCTTCAACCTTCACGACTACATGTAAAGGTCGCATATCTTAAAAGTCCATCGTCTCCTTTTTTTGAATTCCTCTTCTGAATGGGAAAACCTACATCGTAGGCATATCTTTTGTAGAACCAAACATTGCTTTTTCATCGTTGAACTGCATACCCACCTCCGGCACAATTGAGTCCCCATCTCCTAAACCTTCTTCTTCCACTAAATTCGTATTTTCAACAACATTCTCATTTTCGGAGTCTGCCAAAGAATTATCGACCACATCTTCCACAATTTACTTTCTGCAATAATATAACTTGTAACGTTACGTCACATAAATCAAATATACTAAATAAACAAATCAAAATAAATTCAGTTTCTATATACATATTTACCCACTATACATTGCTGCCAAGTAATAACAGATTTATATTACAACAAAATCAATTAAGCACATCCCTGCCAAGTCATCACAAATTTATTTTACAACAAATTCATCACAGATTTATATTATATCAAATTCATTACAAAAATTATGCACATTGCTGCCAAGTCATCACAAATTTATATTACAACAAATTCATCACAGATTTATATTACATCAAATTCATCACAAAAATTATTCACATTGCTGCCAAGTTACAATAAATTTATCACAAAATTTATTCACATTGCCAATACTTAACGAGAATATCAATAATATTGTCATATAAAAATGAGCAAATGACAGACACAAAGACAAGATAATAGTGCACTCACGAATAAGTCATGGCTTGTGTGGAAAACGGGCAAATGGCAGAGGGTTTTGGGCATTTCGAATCGCTGCCGGAAGTTTAGCTCATGAGGGATGTGAGAGAGAGTTCGAGGTGGAGAAGATATTCCGGCACCCGTCCCCAATTTGTGGATTTACAGAAATTGCTCACGTAGCTCGTTTGAGGTGGAGGAAATGGGTGCAATGATGGACCGTTGTCGTTCGTTCAGCTGACGTCGAAATCTGTCGGAGGTGGAACTTATTTTTGCTAGTCGGACTGTAGTGGCTACAGGCGTTCTGCCGGATTACAAGGTTGGAAGGAAAAGGGAACCACAAGAGCAATTGTTTGCTATTTTGGGGGGAACTAAAGTGTATTCACGTGGGATGCATCTCATTTCCCTCCATTATGTTTTTTCTTATTTTTTTTATTACCAACAAGTGGGCCATCAAGAGACATTTTTAAATTACCTGTAAGGAGCCTATAAGATTGAATCTGTACGCCAAGCTTAATTCTTGATTTTCGAGTATAGGCTATTTTCAAATAGGAAATCAAATTTTTGTAGTTGAATGACAATGTACGATCACACAGTGTTACTATATGCGATCACACAAGCTAACTATTTGGCTCTCTATTGATTATATTCCGTGCCTTGCAATTGTATCCCTTCAGTCTTGTGATCGGAAGCTTGAAAATTCTTTCGAAGTTCAATTTAGTCTCTAAATTCCTTTTTTCGGCCAACGTTGGTTATTGTAATGTCTTCCAAATTATCTCCATCGGCTTCTTCCTCATATCCATTATAAATTGAATTCATTTATGGTTTAAAAATTTTTGAAATCCTCTTCAAAATTCTCACAAGTTTTCTCAAGCTTAGTATCGAAAACAGCTACATTTTTCCATTTGTATAGTCCATATATACCGTGTACACAATTTTCATTTACACGTACAACAAGCTTGCAATTGAAAAAGAAGGTAATTATTTTAGTGTAAGGATTACAAATAAGCCAACTTGTTAATCTCTAATTTATGTTATAAAATACATAAGTAGATTAATACACTTAGATCACCAAATTCGACCACTTCCAACGTTGTGCAGATCTAGTATCGTGTGTTGGCACATAGTAAAATCATTGTGTTGGAAAATAATCTCCAATTTCTTACGTATGCATATGTAGTCAAATTTTTAATAAGTTTAGCATTTCTATTTTTGAAATTTAGGTCTTAAATTTCACTTAAGATGCATATTATGAATGCTTAAATTGAATAATCTTTTCTTAATTAGTACAAATAGTATCTCACGTTCTTCCTTCTACACTAGAAAGCCTGAGAAGAGGTCTCAAATAATAATAATTGGTTCTTATTCTTAATAGACACACAAGTGCTTGCTCAAACTTCGTTCGAATGAACGTAATAACTATTTGGAATACACCAAATAATGGGAAAATTTGAAATATCCTATTAATAAAAAAAACAAATGTAATATTTTTATAACTTTAACACGTATTTATAGACTCAAAACAAATTCTATTCATATAGAAATCCTAATTCTTGTTATATATTTATGGTATAAATATAAAATGTGAAAGAAATAATCAAATTAGATAAAGTGCCAAAGTGGTGAGAAATGAGACATCTATGTGGAACGTCAGGGGTTCGAGTCACTCCCCACATAAATATTAAAATGTCTTTATTGGGGCATTGAGCTTCCTTGACTAAAATAAATTTTTTATTATTATTTAATGGGTAAAACTAGCCAGTATTTTCTGATTGTTTGTTTTTGTAACAACCCACTCACAGGCATTAAAATACCCACTACTCAATCATTAAAATTCTGCATTACTCTCTGGTCATGGTGGAGACTGTTACTTCCATCTTGCCTATATAAACCCATATCTCGTTTTGAGAAAAACATACATAAAACATCTTGCATCAATCCTCCTTTTCATATTCTGAATACTCAGGTTTTTACATATATTCTGGAATACAATTGAGAGTATTAGAAAAATCATTCGTGATTGCTGCACAAGTGGTTTACGATCATTGTATCCTGGGAGTGATTGTCTACGGAGGTCGCAGAAATTATCGACGGGCAATTTCACTTTAGGACATCATGCTTTCACGAGACTTGATCGGACGATAAGTTTTATATTTCTGCATTATATTGTTCTAAACAATACTGCAACTAATTATTTTTCCAACAATCTAAAGTGAAATTCTCTTTATAATTAGTTGCCATGTCTGCCGTAGATATATATGTTCATAAGTATTCTGAAAAGCCTAAGTTGTTTGATGGAAAGAATTTTAAGAGATGGCAAATGAAACTGCAATTTTATTTGACAATACTTAAAGTCGTTGATGCTATTGAATCAAATAAACCTATTTTTGCAATTGCTGATAATCCTACTGATAAGGAAACAGAGGATTTAGCTAATTGGGAACATAAGGATTATATGTGCAGGAATTATATTCTGAATTGTTTAACGTTAGATCTATATGATGTTTACTACTCGTGTAAATCTGCAAAAGAGTTATGAAATTCATTAGAAAGAAATATGCTACAGAAGATGCTGGAACCAAGAAATTTGTTGTGGAAAAGTTTTTAGAGTTTAAAATGAATGATGTTAGAACTGTGGTCAGTCAAGTTGAAGAATTGTAGATTATAATTCACGAAATTATTGCTGAAAGATATAAAATATGTGAGGGCTTTCAAGTGTCAGCTATAATTGAAAAATAGCCACCTTCTTGGAAAGAGTATAAAAATAGTTTGAAGTATAAGAGAAAAGAAATGTCCTTAGAGGATCTGATTATCAGGATTAGAATTGAGGAGGACAATAGAATGGCAGAACGTAAACAAAAGCCAGACTTTGATACCAAGGCTAATCTCATTGAAGGAAGTTCTGGCAGTAAGAAACCAATTGAAAATTTTACAAGGGATCAGAATTTTAAAGGCAGAAACAAGGGAAAACAATTTGTAGGAAAGAACAATTGGTCTAAGCCCCAGTTTAAGAAAAAATTATTGGTGACTGTTTTGTTTGTGGTAAACCAGGTCACCTTGCAAAGGATTGCAGAAATAGAAAAGGAAAAGTTATGAAACATCAGGCACGTGGTCGAGGATGGGAATTTCTCTGTTATGGAGACAGAAGTGAATCTAGTAAGCAACATAACAGACTGATGGGTAGATTCTAGAGCCACCAAACATATTTGCGGCATAAGAGGTGCATTTTCTTCATTCACTCCTGCTAGTGATGGAGAATGTCTGTTCATGGGGAATGCTTCCTCCTCCAAAATCAAGGGAAAATGAACCGTGATGCTTAGATTTACTTCTGGAAATATCCTTAATTTGAAGGATGTCCTTTATGTACCTGATATTAAGAAAAATCTAGTGTCTGGATCTATCTTAGTCAAAAAGGGTTTTAAGATTGTATTTGAAAGTGGTCAAGTTGTACTATCTAAGGGTGGTTCCTTTGTTGGGAAAGGGTATGCAGATGAGAGTCTGTTTAAACTCAATATCTCTGTGATTAACAATAAAACATATAGCTCTTCCGTTTACTTGTTGGATTCTTATGATTTGTGGCATGCTAGACTTGGACACGTTAATAAAACTTCCATTAAAAAATTAATGACTTTGGGAAACATTCCCAAAATCGATAATTGTCCAAGTTCAAAATGTGAAACGTGTGTTGAATCTAAATATGCTAGAAAACCATTTCCTCATGTTGATAGGACTACTTCGGT